AGACAGGCAGTATTTATTCACATTTCTCTTCTTGGAATTGTAATAGCTAACACTTAAAGGAGAGTCTAAAACAAAAATAAAGTATCAAAAACTACGATTAAAAATAGAGAAAACTGGCAGAATTAACACATATAAAATGGGGAATGTTGAAAGAAATACCTAAGATTAAGAAAGAACAATATCAAAGTGACCATTGACACAAGCAACTTCCATACTATATGTGGATCTTCAGAAGACCATTACAAAAAAGACAATTTCCTACCAAGTGGGTTTTCTGATACGGTGAGAATTAGTATATTTTGAAAATATATCAGAAATATATATTTTACTATAGATTTTCCTTTAGCCAATTAATATATTGATCTATCAATCTTTGATAAATTTTAAGATCCAGAAGAGAAAGTGCTCCATGGAATCTGTCCTCCACATGGTTATGGGTCACTTGAACTCCAGCATTCTGAAGCCTGGTGACATACATGAGTCCATCATCCCTTAACACATCATACTGACAAGTGAGTACATAGGTCAGGGGTAAACCACGCAACCTGTTGTCATCTGCCAACAGAGGAGCTGCCCTCACATCCAGGAACCCAGGATATTTTTGAAACAATTCAGAACTACCATAAGTTGGGTTGGTATGAACATGTCCTTTTCTACACCTCTCAGGAAGCAAGGAGCTCCAGTTAACAAACTTGAAGAGATGACTTGATTCCGCAGGTACATGCTGATTGGAAAGCATGGCTTTCTCGAGTGCCCTGTCTGTGGTAAAGTATTCACTCCAGAACCTGACCATGAGGGATTTGGAAAGAACTGCCATATGTGAATTTTCTCGATACGATGGTGAATCTAAATCGAGAGATTGAAGAGCATTATAAATGAAAGCCTGGATCTTAGGTTTGATCTTGATATCTGGGTCATCAAAGAGCTGAAAAAAAATTAAGATGATTTGCACAAATTATTTTCATTTAAAAAGAATAAAATGACGTGATGGTCTATAAGTAAATTCAAATTGTCAAAAGAACAAGTAATAAATGAAAGGTATGGTCTCAACAAACTTTGAAATATTCAAAATGAGTTTCCAGAACTGCATGTTACTAATCTAAAGTATAGTTTTAAACTGAACAAAATTATGTGCTCTTTATGCTTCATAGATATACAAAAGGATCTATGCAGTATGTTAGTATATTTTTCTTTCTACCAAGAATGACATCTACGGAGACTGTTAATTTTACCTCATTATTTTCTCTTAATATAAAAGTTCCTTAAAATACACCAGTATATCAAGTTAACTTGTCATTGAGAGGAAGAGTCATTTGTGACTTGACTGTGATGATTCAGTATTATGCTACTTTAGTGGGCTTTGGTAGGGTTTGTGTGTGAAGCATTCCATTAACATCTTTCTTTATTATCAGGACTAAAACATTGCTATTGACAAAGATCAGTGGTCTGAAAACAGGAATGCACAAATACCATACTGCAATAAAAAGTGAATCACATAAATATTTTGTAAATATATTTTAATTTTCAAAATCATCCTTGAAAAAATAGTTTAATTTCATGCTGAAATGTATATTACACTATAAATATGTATGTATTTTCCATCTATAAATAGACATTGGATGTGTCAAAATAGTTTGTAAATTGAGGTAGCCATGCAATGTTACTACAGTGATGACAATCAAATATGGGCATTTTGGAGAAGATTTGCAAAGATCATTTCAGGTATTTTTAATAAAACTTTAGAACTCTGACCTCGGAACAACTCTGAGAAGTTTAAAAGTTGTTTCCCTTTACAGATAATGATTAAACAAATTACATAAATCTGGCGAGATCACATTTTCAGATTTCAAGTTCAAATCAGAATTTGCAGGTTTCTAGTTCAAATCTTTTGGAATCTAATCAAGTGGTTTTTTTCTACTGCATGATGAAATTCACAGTAATGATTAGAAATCTCTGTGTAGTTTCAAGTACTTCTTTTATATTGTGGGCATAGAAATATATGAATGAAGTGGGTTTTTTATATGTTGCCCCCAAAGACACTAGAAACCAAAACATTTTTGTATGAAAAAATATAAACAAATACAATTAATGAAAAAAGCAATGTTCAAAATTTCTTTATCCATAGTTTATAATTAAAGTCTGCTAAAACATCTAAGTTTCTATAGATATTTAAGTAGCTTATCTTTGTACACTTACTACTACAGTACTTGGAAAAATAACGTAGTTTGAACAACAAGTGCTAGTGTCCTCTCTCAAAATCAGAAGATATTCTATGATTACTCTTGGATTAAAAACTACTACTTACAATTATTAATATAGTACTATAGTTTAATAACAGATAAAGCATTATTTTATATATTATATTAAAATCTTATGAATACTTCATATTTCTTTTTTGTAAGTAGCTTGGAATATTTGAGTGTGCTGATTATTTTCAAAAAGATAGTGTGATTTTTCTGGCAAAAGAGGGCAAATCACAGCGGTTATAGTTCAGCAGCCCAGCTCCTGCCTTGCAAGCTTGAGGCTGTATGTTTAATCCCCACACCATAATAATAATAATAATAATAATAATAATAATAATACAGATGAATCCACTGAAAATTGTTGAATACATCGTTAAGGTTCATTTCTTGGTCTTACAATTGCATTTATCTCATTCATCTGATTAGTACAAAATTTTATTGTCACATATAAAATCTTACCAATGATATACCAGAGAATTTTCATTTCACTAAGAAAGAAAAGTATTTGTTACAGGAGCAAAAAGTAATTTTTTGATGTTTTAGGTATTTTCATCAAAATTCTCTTTGCTATCCTTATATGTGTATTTATGTTTTAATACATGCATTTATTTATTTTAATAATATATGTGCTTAATCCTTTTATAGGTAGATTCTCTTAAGAAATAGAAATAACAAGCATCCTAACTTCTGAGTCGCTGCTGCAGCCAGATTCCCTCCTGCACTGTTTCCAGAAACACAGACCCTTTCAGGGCTCACACCATATTTTTCCAGAACATTTTTACTTAAGAACCACCTTAAGTCATTATACACATCTTCAAATTGGACTGGAAAATGGTATTTGGGTGTTAATCTGTAGCTGTGGAGAAAAAAATAATACTCTTATTCCTTCTTGAAAAAGTTATATTAAGAAATAATATGCATTTCAGAAATGTATAATATAACATACATGTATAATTGCATAAATTTTCAAACTAAACACAACCACTCAGGGAGCATGTAGGTCATGGAAGGCAACACTGCAGTGCTGACAAGCCTCTGCTTCCTTCTCTTCATCTCCGTAAGCACCTGCGAACCAGGTACAGCAACACCAATTAATTTTGCCTGCTTTGCCACTGAAGTAAATAAATTTGAATAGAATGCGTGCCTATGCTATTAGGTTTGATTGTTCACCATTGTTTCTGAGTCTCAGATTGCTGTGTTTGTCTTTCTGCGTAGTATTCAGAAAGACAATACACTGCAATATCCACTATCCATTGTTGACAGCTAGCCACAGAAGGACAAAAACCTTATGATTCCACTTGTAAGCGGTATCTAAAATGGTCAAATCATAAACTCAAAATGTATAATGCTGGTTGTCCGTGACTGGGGAGAAGGAGAAATGAGGAGTTTGTAATCAATGGATTCAATCCAGCAAGATGAATAAGCTCTAGAAATCTGCTGGACAACATTGTACCTAAAATCAACAACGACACTGTGCATTCAAAACTTTTCTAAGAGAGATTTCACGTTAATATTCTTACCACAAATAAATAATCGCTAAGTGAATACATATTTTCCAATTTAAAGAAAGCTGTAGGAATTGGGTTGCTTGCAGTTTGGGGATTTTAAAAAAACAGTGCTATAATGATTACTATGAGTTTTTGGTGAACATATGTATTTTTGTTGATATATGCCTGTGGTATCAATGGCCATGAAGTTATAAAATTTGCTTAGCTTTACGTAATGCTGTGAAAGAGTTTTGATAACTAGAATACTGTACCAAGTTTGTCTTAAACCACCAGTTTATAAAAGTGACTCTTAATGTTCTCTTGCTAACCTTTGCTTTTATATCTTTCTCATTTTAGCCTTTATATCAGGTATAAACATGTTACCTAGTGCATTTCATTTATATTTTTGTTATATGTGCTGTGCTGGTTTTTCATAACTTTTTGACAATTTGTATTCCTTTTTTTGTAAATTGCCCTAAAATATCTTAATTTCTAGGTATTGGTATATTTCATATAGAAAAAATGCATATATATATTTTAGAATTTATATTTCTCTCTGTACATATACAGATGCCTCATGATTTACATTAATGTCTTAAGAAACATAAGTTCTTAGTTCTTGACATAATCATTTTATTAAGGTGCAATTCACATTCAAAATTAATGTTTTTACTTCGGTGGTTTTTATTACATACATGAAGTCATGTGGGCCTCACCACAATCAATGTTAGAACATTTTCATCACTCAAAAAATAGCCCTATACAGCCTGGTAGTCACTTTCCACTTTCCCTACCACTTGCCTCCATCCTTGAGCACCTACTAATCTTTCTGCTTCTATATATTTACCTATACTGGACATTTCATGAATATGGAATCAGACATTGTGTGGCCTTTTGTGACTAGTTTCTTATGCTTTGAATAATATTTTCACCATTTATCCAATTATATCCCTATGTCATTCAACCATTGTCTTGGGTATTGTAACTTTGAAAGTTTTATGAATAATGGTGCTGTGAATATAAAAGATTTTATATAGCTATGTTCTCAATTTCCTTGTGTAAACACATAGGAATAGAGATTCTGGATCATGTGGCAAGTCTAGTTAATATAGCCATATTAGAAAACTCCCAACTATTTTCCATTATGACGGCACCATTCTTTATTCTTACCAGTAGCATAGAGGGTCTCTCCTTTTCCATGTTCTTATCAACAATTTTTATTATTTGCTTTTTTTTT